GCCGAGCCGACCGAAGGCGGCCGACTGCGACCCAGCCGAAGCGACCGAATCGCGAACACCACCCATGGAGTCGGCACCCAGGCCACATACACTGATTTCCAGTCAGGCTAGGAGAAGTCGCCACGCCACTCTGAAGGCCGCGATCAGAAACGGCCCAAGCGTATTGGGCTGGATCGTGACGTGCCTCGGTTTAGTTGGCTAGTCTGCGAGTGCCGAACGAGCCTGAGGTCGAGGCTGCACAACACTGCACATGACGGCGGAGCCTAAGCGGTAAGCGCCTCTTTGGGAGAGGGCGCTAAACGTTTCTGAAAAACGAGCCTGGCTTGAAGGTGCCAGGGTGCCCTGGTGACAGTCTCCCTTCTGCCTCTCCCCCTCCTCCTCCTCCTCTTCCTCCTCCTTCCTCCTCCTCCTCCTCCTCCTCCTCCTCCTCCTCCTCGTCCTCTTCCTCCTCCTTCCTCCTCCTCCTGCTCGTCCTCCTCCTGCTCCTCCTCCATGGGCGCGTGCTGGCCACAATCTCGGAGAGAATCCAGACGTGGCGACGAGAAGCCTCCCCAAGGCCACAAGATGGCCAAAAAGGCTCAAGCACCTGCAAACTCCGATCCTCCTCTCGGTCCCCGATCCTCGACCCCTCACGCCGAGAGATGAGAGGAGGAGGAGGAGGATCGAGGAGCCTACTTGTCCGATCCTGCGCTCGGTCCTCGATCCTCCTCGATCCTCAAACCCCAATCCGATCCCTCCTCCCCCTGCTGCTCCAGGATCGATCCTCAATCATTCGCTCCGAGGAGCAGGAGCCAGGGGCTCTCCGACTGTAACCAGCCTCGACCCTGTCCCTGCCCCTAGGATCGGCAAACCAAAGGCGATGACAGTCTTAGGGATGAGCCCTCAGAAACCGAGTGAGCCCTCGAAATCGGCATCGAGATCAGATGACGCCAATCATATGGATAGGGATGTGTTCAAGCTGGCAAGACGTCGGCGGAAACGGGCGCCGAGCGCTCTGGCAACGGCGGCCGCCGCCGGCGCCGGCCAGACGGAGAGGGCCGCGGCCTGCAGGTACTCCTGCCGCGGCGCGGAAGAGGGGCCCCCTCGGGCCATGAACATCGGGAGCGGCCAAGAGGGGGGTGTCCACGAGGGGGGGGTGCAAATCATGACCGGCGGCATGTGCTGGGCCAGGGACGTAATGAAGTAAGAAGAGGCGCCGTGAAATCTGGGGAATTGTCATGGCCCCCGCCATGATATCCACCCCCCCTAGTCATCACCCCCCTCTTTGCCGCCCCCGAGAACAAAGATCAGGGCGACAAATTTTTCGCCATGCTCGGCCTCCGGGGCACCTCGCCTGGCCTCGGGACCGGCAGTCAGCGGCGCAGGATGAAAAACGGTGGTCCTGGGGGAATAGCTCGGGGTCTCTGGGGATCGACGTCGTGAAAAAAAAGCATGATTGGGAGGCCTGCAAAATGGGCACCAACACCAACACAGAGGGCTGCCTCCACAGGGGGGAGGTGATCCTAGATTTCGGTGTTGGTGGTAATATTTCGGCCACCTTGGAAGCCAGAATATTACCACCATCACCGAGATCGGGATCTTCTTCCCTCGGTGGAGGAGCACCGCCGACCTTGGTGTCGGTGTCAACCTCTGGGCCCGCGAATGATGTCGGGGGTCTGGGAGGAGGGCGAGGAGAGACGACCCCCACCACCACGGTGCGCAGCACCAGGGCAGACCCTGCAAGTGCTACCGACAGCCTGCGAGCGCCGCAACGCTTCCGCCAGCGCGTGCAGAGAGCCCGCGAGCAGCGCAGCGGCCTGCGAGCAGCACAGCTGCAGGCAGTCTGCGGCCACAGCGCAGGCGCTACGACCGAGCCTTGCCACGAGGCCGCGGTGCGTGCGTGCTGGGTGCACTCGGGAGGTCCCCTGCGGGCCCCCATGAGGCCGGCGATCCCCGGAGCCCCTGGAGGCCCAGAATCACCGAAAACACCGGATCCGCGATCCTCCTCCAAGGGGGCGCCCTGATTTTAGGCATGAGTGGAGGCAGGTCCCTGTCCCAGCCTGTCCCCCCCAGGGGCTTCCTTGGGACCAGCTGTCTTTCATCCTGAGTCGTCTCTCACGGTCCCGGGGCATGCAGAGGGGCAAGGGTTTTGGATGCCATGACAATCGACACCCTAACAAGCCAATCATGAGACATGTGTTAAACATGTTTTAGACATCTGGAAATTATTTGGCAACATGCTTCCTCTCCGCTGATCGTCGTCTACAAGGCAAGGGAGCAGGAAAACGGAGAAAAGTATCCAGGACCTCTCCTGAGGACCTGTGGCTGGAGGCATGTCTGTTTTCGGAGCTCCTAGGCGGCAACATCAGCCCTCGGACCTACGTGCGCGTCGTGGCCAACATTTCGAAGCAGATCCATCCATGGCGAAGAGAACCCCCAGGGCAAAAAACGTATATATACATATATATATATATATATATATATATATATATAATAATAATAATCAAAAACAAAAAAAAAACGCCAACAGAGTCGATCAGTGGCGACGTCCAAACCCCTGACCCCCCGCCAACCGTCGATTCTACGGAATCGACGGTAGGCGGGCGCAGGCTCCAGACATTCGCGACGCGCCCGACGAATTCAACCCTATCCCCGCCGCCCATCGAGTTGCCTGAATCGTTGGTCGACGAGGGTAGGGTTCGGATTTCGTCGCCGACTGGATCCTCGAAACTCGATCCTCTTACTCTGGGGGCACCAGAAGGTACCGATACCACCACTCCCCAAACCTCTCCTGGGGTTCGTTCTGGCTAGGATTTCGAGGCGAATCCGGCGGTGGCGACGAGGGCCTCCCATGAGGCCTATATCGGCGAAATCGAAGGTGGGTACCTTTTCTTATGTTGTTCCCATCGTACTAAAAGGACCACATCCCAGAAATAACTCTAGCTCCCAGAAAAGTATCGAAACAGTGTCGAACGAGCATCGCCTCCCAGGGCCCGACACGATAAAACCCTCCAGTGTTGGTACTTCCTTGGTGCTCGAAACTCTTTCTGGCGAGCAAAGCCAAAGTAGGTTGGGACATCACGAACTCTTCCTCCCCTGATTTTCATGGCGATGATGCTTAGAGCTAGGTCGGGCATGTCCTCCTACAGGCGAAATTGTGCACGAAGAACAAAAAATACTCAAAACATGCCCAAGCATGATCAAACAATCATCGACAGATCGTCCCCACATTACTTGTCTTGACTGCTTCTGCAGCCTCCTCCACTGGCGGGGCAGGGCCCGACTTCGGCACAGCGCCCCGCGGGCGCCCCCCTTTTCGGCCGTTGGTAGAACTGGGTTTAGTGGAACCTGGTTTAGTGATCTGTACCGGGGGCGCCCCCCCGCCCCAGTTCCGCGAACTGGAACTGCCGCCGCCCGAAAAAACACGAGCTGTGGCAAACATGGCTTAGTGACTCTGGCCAATTCAGGGGCTCTGGGGCCCTACCACTCACCGGGTCCCCTTGCCCGGGGCCCTAGCCATACCCGACCCATTGGCTGCCTCTCGGCCACCGGCGCCTCTCCCCCCGGGGGGGTGGCGCCCATTGCCAGCCCTCCGGCCTGCGGCCCTCGGGGGCGAGCACAGCCCGCGGCGGCGGCGAGGAGCCTCCCTCCATGGAGACCTCCACACCGGGGGCCGGGCCCGAGCATTAGGTTGTTCCCAACCTACTTCAGGGCCGCATCCCAGAACTAACTTCGGGCACCCGAAAAAAAAGTGTCAAAGGAGTGTCAAAAGAGTGTCGAGACAGTGTCGGGCGAGTGTCTCCCAGGGCCCGACACGTGAACACCCTTGAGTTGCGGTACTTTTTTGGGCGCTCGGAATCCTTTCTGGTGATCAAGGCTAAAGTAGGTTGGAGCATCCCCAGGCACTGTCTGTCGCATGATTGGACTGCATGAGATCGACTGCATGATTGGTTTACCCCAATATTGACGTGTTCGTTGAATCTGCGCGAAAAACGGAAGACCCTAGATATACGAACCATCCACGTATGTGTTCGTATATCCCACGGAACGATACAATTCTGGGGTACATCGATTATGTAGTCTATCTCCTACTCGGATAGTACAGCCAACCCGTCTGACAAAGAGGCGCGGTAAAAATGTAAGGGCCTTGGAAGGCCATGTTGACGTGTTTCGGACGAGGCTGGCTGGCGAAAGCCGCTAAGGATGGGCCGACGGGGAAGGATGCAAGGGCAACCTAGGAAAACCGCTCGTCCTTACTAAGCGGGCTGAATGTAGAACCTTGATGCTCTCTCAACGAAGACCTCACTCGAAGGCGAGCGAGTCGGGGAAGTGAGAAGGAAAAGGCCTTCCCAGAAGGCTCTGACGTCCCCCGGCCTTCTGAGAGGTTGTCTAAGCCTTCCCCGAAGACGCAGCAATCCTGGCAGAGGGCGCGAGGGGGGCCTCCGAGAAGACCCGCCGCCCTCTGAGAAGGCCTCCTCCTTCGCACTTCCCCCCTCGCTCGCCGCCGAGCAGAACCTCGACGCTCAACGGAGACCTCCTTCTCTTCGCGGAGCGCGCACGTCTGAGGTGGCCCGAGGGGGAGGGGGGAGGCGGCCCTTTACAGGAGGCTCAGCGGGGGGCTGCCCACCAAAAGGCCGCCTCGCTCGCGCCACCCTTTCGTGCGCGCCGCCAACCTCCTCCACGGCGATGGCTTCTGGGCCCGGCGCCGGCGCCGGCGCCGACGCCGGCGCCGACGACGCCGACGACGACGACGTCGGCGACGACGGCGACGACGACGACGACGACGACGACGACGGCGGCGGCGACGACGGCGGTGACGTCGTCGGCTGCGGCGGCGGCGGCGGCGGTGACGGCGATGGCCTTGACGTTGCCCCCGTCTCGGGTCCTTCGGCTCCGTTCTGCGCACGTCGTCCTCCTCCCCGCCGTCCGCGGGGACGAAGGCCACCTGGTAGGCCACCTCGCGCGGGGGAGCAGCGGCAGGGCGGCGGCGAGCAGCGCACGAGGATCGAGGAGGATCGAAGAGCCGAGCTCGAGGAGGGGGAGGTCGAAGAGCCGAGCTCGAGGGTCGAAGGTCCGAGCTCGAGGGGGGGGGAGGTCGACGGCGACGGCGACCAGGACACGGGGGGGACGACTGAGAAACAGCTGCCTGCCGCTTGCGAAGGCTGAGGAGGGGACGATCAAAGAATCCCGACAACGGCGCGAGCAGCCCTGGCACCCAGTGTACGAATCGTCGCCCAGGGCGCTGCCGCTTGACGGGCCCCCGGGCATTTCGTAATCCTCCGCCTCACGCGAGGGGGCAGCAGCGCCGTCTGTGGGTTCCTTCGCCCTTCCCCGCGATCCGGCGCCGAGGAGCCGGAACTGCAGACCCGTGGGAAATCACAGCCAGAGCCCTCGGCCCCGCGGCCCCTGCAGCACAGTCAGCCCGTATCATGAGGATGCGCGGCAAGGGTGCAAAGGGCCTGAGAGGCCCGCGTGGGCGTCTTTCGCACGAGGTCGGCCGGCGAGAGCGGCCGAGGATAGGCCGAGGGGGCCAGGCTGGAGTGGGTATACCCTTTGCGGGTCGACTGCACAGATAGGCGACGCCCTGACGTTTTCAGGACGGCGCCCCTGGAAGCCCGGCCCCTTCCCCGGGGCCTGCTTCTCGTCCTGAGTCGTCTTCTTGACGGCCCCGAGGCCCGGCGAGGGCCCCCCCGGGCCGAAGACATCCATCAACCTCCCGTCCTGCCTTCTTTCGCGGCGCGATCATGTCCGCCGGGTGTACCTCTCGAGCCCGACCGATCCCCAACGGCCGCGGGGCCCGAGGCCAGGCACGAGGCCACCCCGCGCGAGCCAAGCAGGGTGCAGCGCCCGGATCTCCGGGCCAGCCTCGCCCCCGGGGGCGCGGCCGGCTGGCCCCCAGGGCGCCCCCAGGGGCCCAGCCTCGCCCCCGCGAGGCCCGGGGGGGCGTGGCAAAAACTCAGGACGGGCGGCTGTTGGCTCCTCTCGGCCCCGGGGGGCTCTCGCCGAGCCTCGGGACTGTCAACAAAACGACTCGGGACGAAAACTGGTCCCGGGGGGAGGGTCGGGACTTCCAGGCACGCCGTCCTGAAAAAACCGGGACGTCGCACGTCTGGGGCAGCGTCGTCCTTCGATCTCCTCGCCATTGTCCGCTCCGCATCCTTCCCAAGTCTCTGTCGCTTCCGTGGCAACTCATGGGAGCCTCCCGTACCATCCTCTCGGTACTTTCGAGTCGACGTTCATCGATACTGAATCGAGGCATATCGACGCTACATCGACGCTATCCGAGGTTAGCCGACGCTAAATCGGCGATATCTTACCGACTCCCAGACGCTAACCGACGCTAGTCGAGGCTAAAGTCGGAATTAAAAGGGTATAGCAGGCTCCCATGATTTGCTACCGAATGACGCCGTGATTCGTTCACAGCATGGATCTCCAGAGGTCTGGACATCTTCCCCAGAGCATGCTTTGCATCCCGCATCGTCTTGTTGACGGCCAGGGGGCCCAATGAGGCCGCCTGGAGGCAGACCGCTACGGACAAAAACTCGTGATGCGGCCTCTTTCTCGGCCAGGGGTCATAACTCGTGTTGCGGTGCTCTCTGTTGCTGTTCCTGCTTCTGTTCAAGGTCCTGGCTCGCGCTGCCGAAAATTACGAAAGGAAACCACCAAAAAATCGTGCGGCGACTTGTTCGAGGCCTTCTCGCGACAAGAGGCCCGGGCTGTGGTCCGTCCGCGGGACGTCGCTCGGGCCTCCGGCGGCCGCTCGGGGACCCCCGGAACGCCGTCGGCGAGGCGCGGCTGCTGGAGGGCAGCCGCGGCGGGAGAACGGCCAAGAGCCAGCAGCAATAGCTCAGGAAGCGCCTCCAAGAACTCCTCCTAACGCCAGGTCGGGCACGTCCCCCTACAGGCGGATGCTGGGCGAACACAAAAAAAAATGCCCCAAAAAGCTCCACAAAAACAAGATGGTCAAACAATCGTCCCCAGACTATGTTTGGACTATTTCTGCACATTCCCCCTGTGGAGGGACACGCCCGACTTGATCCTAACGTTGCCGCTGCTCCCCGGACCTCTCCTGGGGCGCGTTCTGACCAAGATTTCGAGGCGAATTCAGCTGTGGCGACGAGGGCCTCCCAAGATGCCTTAAATGACAAAATCGAGGCAAGGGTAATGGTATGTGTACCTGTTCCTCCTCTGATCGATGGACCGATCGAGGTCACACTCACACAGGCCAAAACATCTTACCACAAGCTGGGGCCCTCATCGTCCCCCTCGCAGTCGGGAGGTAAATTCAAATTCGCGGCCCTGGCGGGCAAGGCCCCTGGGCCGCGACCCCATGGACACGGGGCGTTTGCTTCGCAAATACACCGCACGGAACATATCCATGCGACCGCATAGCCATGGGATCGCGCAACGGAATCCTGACCGCGAGGGCGTAGATATGGAAGCTGCTACTTGCCGTCGCTCGGACGTCCATGTCCCGTGCATGTTTCGGTTTCGTGCGTGCTCTTTTTGCTCGATGGTCCAGGATGGTCCTCGATGGGTCTCGCCGAGAAAAATGCACACGTCCGAGCGATGCCAAGGCTATGAGCACGCACGGCGCCGCATTCTGAGTGCACCCCAGCGGGGTAGTTCATCGGCGTCCCCAAGCAATCGATGGTACCCGAAGAAACGCGCGTCGATAAGCGAAACCGACTGCGGACTCCACTGGCCCACCCGAATGCCAATGCCGAGTCAACTGGTGCAGATTCCCTCAGACGACTTGGCCGGGTGGGTTTTTTCTAAGGGCCTCCCAGATCGGGTCCGAGTAGTGGGGTCGGAGGATCGCGCCGCATCGCCGACGTCGGCAAAGCATAAGCGACGTCAGCACCGAGACAATCGGGCTCTACACGTAGCCACATCGCCGATGCATCGCCGATGCAGAACGGTCCTCCGACCCAATCGATTTCAACCCCACTGGGGAGGCCTATGTCCTCGCATTTGGACGCCCGAAATGGGTACAGAAAAAATGGGTACAAGGCCCAACAACAAGTGTTGTCCCAAACTAACAGCGGCCGCTGTTGGGCAGGCGACAGTTCGTCTCAAATGGACACAGGCCGCGGCGGCGCGGACAGCGAGCCCTGCCGAAAATGCCGAGGAATTGCTGTTGGACATTGTACCCATTCTTTCCGTACCCGCTTCGTTCGTGCCGATCGCAATGCCCCGCTGACCCTCCCGCCGACCAGCGCCCCGCCTCCGCGTAATGCCCGACTGACTCTCCTCCTCCTCCTCCTCCTCCTCCTCCTCCTCCTCCTCCTCCTCCTCCTCCTCCTCCTCCTCCTCCCCTTGTTCGACCAGCGCCCCGCCTCCGCGTAGCACACCCGCAGCTCCCACAGCACCGCCGCGGGGCCCGACACCTCCGCGGCGGCCACCTCCTCGGACGCGCGTGCCTCCGCGGCCGGGGCGGGTGTCGGAGCGCCTCCTCCGCGGCCTCGGCCGCACGCTTCGGCGGCGAGCGAGGGGGGAGGAGGAGAGGAGGAGGAGGAGGAGGAGGAGGAGGAGGAGGAGGACCAAGAGGAGGAGGAGGAGGAGGAGGAGGAGGAGGAGCAGGAGGAGGAGGAGGGCGAGGAGGAGGAGGAGGAGGAGGAGGGCGAGGAGGAGGAGGAGGAGGAGGAGGAGGAGGAGGAGGGGGAGGGGGAGAGGGGGTGGGGGAGGGGGAGGGGGAGGCCGTCTCACTTTTCCGAAGAAGTTCCTGAGCCTTCCCCGAAAACAAACAAGATTTTCTCAAAATGCGCGGGGGCTTCTGAGGAGTCCCGCCGCCTTCTGAGAAGTCCTTGTCCTTCTCACTTCCCCCCCCTCGCTCGCCGCCGAACACTAAGCACGTGCAGGGCGGATGGCTCCTGAGGAACATCCTGGAGGCCTCGCCCGGCAACTTCGCGCCGGATCCACGTCGGATGTGTTTTGGGTTCACGTCGGGTTGCGTCAGATGCACGTCGGGCTCACGTCAGATCACGTCGGAGTCACGTCGGGATTCACGCCGGATTCGCGTCAGACTAACGCCAGAGCATCACAGCGCGAACGTCGACCCACATCTTACAGAGCGGACGTGTGGACTGCATGATACAACAATTGCGCGCAGCGCGCGGCCTCGAGAGGATATCAGCGCGAGAAGCTGGGAAAAGCTCGGGCCGTTGACTCTTGGGGACTGGGACGTGGTTGGCGTGTCGCGGCGAAGCATGGTGGGCCAGAAGCGTCGGAGCAACACGTTAAGCCAAAGTTACTCGGACCCTCATGGGGAGGCCTGGATTTTCGGCCTCTGGAAACCAGTTTCGGGCACAGGGGCCGTGGAAGTAGATCTGGGCAGAAAGATTGCCAGGGTGAACCCTGGAAGGAGTGCGAGCGGATGTGGAGCGTCGACCTGTCATTCGGGCGGGTCTATTGCCATCCCAGCCAAAAGTTATTCCGCTTTGGCCTCCAGGAACCCGTTTCGGTCTGCGTTGGGTCGGGTCTCAGGGGGGCTCGTTGAGGCCCGCTGGGGTCTGAACGAGACCTCACGGGATCTTGGCGGGGCTTGCTGTAGCTTCAAAGGTGACAGACGGTGTTTGCCAGAAATACAGACTGATGCTGTTGTATTCTCGAATCCCCCCCCGAACAGACTCATGAAGGAACCTCACTCACCCCACACAACCTGTCAACACCGCGTTCAGGACCAGTGCCATCCTCGGTCTCTTCTCACACGCAGCGTCGTCACCCTCGCCGTCACCAATCCCCTCGTCACCACTATACCACGCTCCTTTAGACGAATCCCGCTTCGCCATGCTGAGGCCGTTCCCCGGACCCGGGGTCGCCCGTCATCGGGAGCGGCCAAGAGGGGGGTGTCCAAGAGGGGGGGGGGTGCAAATCACTACCGGCGGCATGTGCGCGGCCCAGCGGGGGGGCCAGGGACGTAATGAAATAAGAAGAGGCGCCATGAAATCTGGGGAAATCTCATGGCCCGCGCCGTGACATCCCCCCCCCCCCCTATAGTCATCCCCCCCCTCTTCTCCGCCCCCGACGTCAGCAGAGCAGCAGACTGCTCGGGACGACCCGGGCCGGGCCCCCGGCAGAGGCGCCGAGGCACCCGGGGGGGGCCCACGCAGAGGCCGGGAAACGCACAGCGTAAGTATGGCGGCGGCCCTCGGACCGCCGGCGCCGCGCCCTCTCTTCGCCACCGTGGGCCGCCGGCCTCCCCCGCACCCGTCGTTCCATTGACTGCCTGCCAGACCACCTCAACCCAACCCGAAGACCACCCGAGTTTCGGGTTGGGGGGTTCGATGTTTCCCGACCCCCCGCCCCACTGGAAGTCGAGGGTAAATTTGAGCCTCCGGGTTGGGTTGGGGTGGTTCGGTGGGTGGTGATCCATTCCCAAGGGTAGCCTGACGGTCCGCAGCCCGGGGAGGGCCCCCATGTACCCGGTGAGTTCTCCTGCGACGATAAAAAAGATCTGGGTCCGTGTCCTGCAGGGGGGGCGTCCTGGGAGGCCACTCCACCATCGGAGAATGACCGCACGACTAGCGGAGAGGACACGGCAAGCGCGGAGAACGCCGCTGGCGGGGCTCGAACTCGGCACCATGTAACGAGCCCTGGGTGGGGTGGGTCGCACTCAGATTCCCAGCCGGGCGGGGGGTCCACCTGCAAAAAGACACACGAAGGACTCAGGTCCTGAAGGAATAGGGTCTCGAAAACTTTTCACCGCTCTCAGGCGCAATAGGCCCTCCTCGGGCCCTGGAGCCGTCAAAGAAAGACTCCGAATGACGAGTTCATCCTGGGGACAAGCCCCCGTGGACCAGGACCAGTTCCTGTCAGAAATCGTCACACTCGTGGCGAGCTTTCCACGCGGCTGGCCAGCGCTCATGCCGTGATCGTCGCGACATCTTCAATCAACAGCAATGATGAAAGACCCCAAGCTCGATGACTGTATGTATTACCACAACCACGCTGCACGACGGCGTGAAACGGAATAGCCTATGGAGGGCGTGAACTCGCACGCGTCTGGGCGCACAGTTTTCACGAATAAGCCTTGAAACGCAACGGTACGAGACATGAAACGAAGCGATGCGAGGAGGAGGAGGAGGAGGAGGAGGAGGAGGAGGAGGAGCAGGAGGAGGAGGAGGAGGAGGAGGAGGAGGAGAGGGAGGAGGAGGAGGAGGAGGAGGAGGAGGAACGGGCCAGCGCCTTGATCGTGACGACGTGGCACGGGCACTGCAGCGCGCTCGGAGGGTCCTGCAGCATCCCGCCGAGCACCTCGGGCACACACTCGGGTCTCAAGGTCTCGAACCTCAGGGCCGGGCAGCGCGCAGTGCCGGGCCGGGGAGGCAGGAGCGGGCCGCCCGCGCCGTCGCCGCCGCCGCCGCCGCCGTCGCCACCGCCGCCGCCGCCGTCGCTGTCGACGTCGTCGTCGTCGTCGCCGCCGCCGCTGCCGCCTCCGTCGTCGTCGTCGTCGTCGTCGTCGTCGTCGTCGTCGTCGTCGTCGTCGTCGTCGTCGTCGTCGTCGTCGTCGTCGTCGGCGTCGGCGTCGTCGTCGTCGTCGGCGCCGGCGCCGGCGCCGGGGCTGGGCGACGTCGTCGCCGAGCCCCAGAACGCACCGCGATCGCCGAGCCCTCGCTGAGCTCACGTCTCCTCCGCCGCACGCGCGGGCCAGACGTCTCTCCGCGCCGGGCACTGCGCTCGCGGATACGAGAGTGGAGACCACAGGAACGCTGGGACCCTCCGGGGCCCCAGATCTGCAGCAGAGGAGAGACAGGGACCACCGATCGCGGCTCTCCTCCTCCTCCCCTCTTCCGCCTCCTCCTTCTCCTCCTCCTAATTACTCCGCCTCCTCCTCCTCCTCCTCCAACTGCTCCTCCTCCTCCTCCTCCTCCTCCTCCTCCTCCTCCTCCCCCTTTTCCTCCCCCTCCTCCTTCTCCTCCTCCTCCTCCTCCTCAAGGTCCTCCGCCTCCAGGATCGATTCGGGTGAGGATCAATTCCGAAGACCGCCGCCACCCAGAACCACGAGCGGTGGTCTCTGCTTGTCCTCCAAGGCCTGACCGCAGCCGGCGCGTTCCCCCCGAAAACACTGGCGGCAGCGCTTCAACCTGCATGGGATCGGCAGGCATTTCGGCCAGCGCCCAAACCATGTACCGAGTTGGCGTGGGGAGGCGATGAGGAGTAAGAACAGAACACACAACATCTTCTGTCAGCATGGAAAGCGGAGGCCGGAACCAATCTGAATGTGCGTCGGGCTGGACTGCATCGGGACGGACTCGAACTCGAGTTGATTCTGCCGAGACGGCCCCAAGACGGCCCAAGACGGTCCCAAAAGGACCCAAGACGGCCCAAGAGACCTCCAAGACGGCCCTACAGCGCCCCATGAGGCCACCAAGACGGCCCCATAGAGGCCCCAAAGATGGCCTCTAACGACGGGCCGAGGAAGCCCTAAGACGGCCCAACCGAGAGGCCCCGCAATTGTGGGATAGAGGGCGCAAGAACGGGACGAGGAGAAGGGCGACAACGCTGACATGGAGAAGGGTCTGTACGAATGGGCGCAAGATGCGAGGGGACTGACATATTCAGCGCAGGATGGACACTACGATTGCGTATACGCATACGTTTACATACATACATACATACATACATACATACATACATACATGCATACATACATGCATGCATACATACATACATACGTACGTAGGTACATACATACATACATACATACACATATACTTATACATACATACAAACATACACATATACATATACATATACATATGCATATACATATATATATATACATACATACATACATACATGCATGCATGCATGCATACATACATACATACATACATACATGCATACACACCTACATACACACAGACATGCATACATACGTGCATACATGCAAAACTACTCATATATATATATATATATATCGTGCTACATCAAATCGTACACAACCGCATCCACATCCACATCCACAGACATTGGCAACTACACATACATCTACACCTACACAAACATAGACCCGCACATACATATATACATACATACACACATACATGCATACATGCATACATGCATATATGCAGACCTGCATACATGCATACACATACACATACACCCATCCGTACATGAATGCATCGAACTGTACTACATACACACATGCACACATATATGCATCTATATACATATTTACATCCACGCCTACATACATACATATGTGTATGCATGTATATGTATACGTACATACATGAATGCATGCATGCATGCAACCATACATACATGCGTACACACATACACACATACATGTATACATACACACATGCATACACTTACATGCATAGACCTATCTGCATGCATACATACATACATACAAACATCTATGCATGCAACCATGTAGACCTACCTGCCTACCGCATTACCTACCTACCAGCATGCATCCATTTATGCAGACAGACGTTCATACATGCATACATACATACACACATGGCTACCGACCTACCTACCTACCCACCAACCTAACTACCTACCGATCATCCTGTCTACCCACCTACCTTCATACACACAGACATGCATACATCATGAATACATACATACATCCATACATGCATATATATGTATGCCTCCATCCATCCATCCATCCAACCATACATACATACATACATACCTGTACACATGCACACATACATACATACATGGATACGCCCATACTTGTAACATATATACACATGGTTCCATGGACGTGGTGCGTACATGAACCAAACAATGCCTGAAAGTATGTTTTCTTACTTGAGATTTCGCCGCAACGCCGCCCATTGCAACCTCGTTGCCGCCCATCCGGATGGTTCCGTCTAGGTTTCGCCGCGTCGCCGCCCGTTGCCGCCACCCTGCCGCCCACTTGGAGGGCCCGTCGAAGTGTTGCCGCGTTGCCGCCTCGCTGCCGCCCACTTGGTGGGTCCGTTGCCACCCACTCGGGGTGTTCGGGAGGTTTCGCCGCGTCGCCGTCCGTTGCCGCCTAGTGGCCGCCCACTTGGATGGTTCCTTCGAGATGCTGCCGCGTCACCGCTGTCTGCCGCCTCGTTGCCGCCTCGTTGCCGCCCACTTGGATGATTCCGTCGAGATTTCGCCGCGTCGCCGCCCGTTGCCGCCTCGCTGCCGCCCACTTGCGGGGTCTGTAGAGATTTCGCCGCGTCGGCGCCCGTTGCCGCCTCGTTGCCGCCCACATGGGGGTCTGTCGAGGTTTCGCCGCGTCGCCGCCCGTTGCCGCGTCGTTGCCGTCCACCGCGCTCGGGGGTCCGTCGTGGTTGCACCGCACAGCTTGCAGCTCAAAGCTTACGCCACATAGAATGCACTGGTAGATTGCATCAATAGCTTACACGTTCGGCGAGCCAGTATTCACTGATGTGGGTCCATGCTGTCATACATAATATATATATATATAGATATAGATAGATAGATATACGTGCATACGCAAATGTATGTATGTATATGTGTGTGTAAGTAAATATGTTTGTGTGCATATATGCCTGTATGTATGTATGTGTGGATGTATGTAGGTGTATGTATGTATGTACGTATGTATGCATGCATGTATGTATGCATACATGTATGCATGTATGCGTATGTAAAGAAGTAGCTCGCTGTGTATATATATATCTGTAACAAGTGTACATACACACGTGACCGCATGTATGCACATGTATCGAGCATCGCCGCACCTATCCCTGAGAAACCATAGCACAACTGCCAACAAACACTATCCGTTTCGTCGGTCCTCATCTACGGAATGCGACCCGAACAGAGACAGGATGCCAATCGCTGCCAGCGAAGCATCGCCCCCTAAGCCTTGAACAACGTCGCGTGGTCGTTGTCTCCAAGAATGAGAAACTTCTGCCTCGTGCGCTCGGGGATAAGCACCGTGAACGCCTGAAACACTTTGACAAATGCTCTAGGGAAGTTCAAGAAAATGGTCTTGCCCTTGAACTCAGGGTAGTGCTCTCCGAACACCTTCGACAAAGATGACACTCCCATCTTGACGTCCTTGTTCGTCACACTTGAAACCTGCACCCCTGCATCCGCCCCGTCCTCAACCTGTGGAGGCAATGCGGGTGAGCGGGCCTTTGACTCCTTCCGCCCGGATGCTGCCAGACCGCCCGACGCACGCACGGGCCAGACGATGCAGACCTGCTCCCGACCCGCTGCGGGCATCGCACTGGCACGGGCCCGCCGCACACCAGGACTCCCGAGACAGGCCGCTCCCCGAGAGGAGCCCACACCACACAGGCGCCTGGGCGCCCACGGACGGCTCCTCCCGTGGCGCCGATCCTTCGCCCCGCCGCACCCCCAGACGTCGGGCCGGCCCAGTTCTTTCCACGCGAGGGCCCCAGAGGTCTGGACCACTTCCCCGGGGCCGGTTCTCGAGCAGGGACCGACCGTCCCGGCATTCCTATAGACCTACCAGGACGCTTCGCCACTGCTTGAGGTTCTTCGTCCAGGGCCGTTTTTGTCACGCTCCCGAGGCCCGGCGAGGCCCCCCCGAGGCCCAAAACTGCTAGAATCCCGCCGCTCCAATTTTTGGGGAGCGTCGTATCTCTGGGCCTACAATCCTGGCGCGCGCAGCACCCGAGGGGGGGAGCTCTCGACCCCTTCCCCCGGGAACTCTCGACCCCTTCCCCCTTATCCCCGAGCCGTTCTTCGGCATTCCCCGACGTAGGGCCATGGACCTCTCGACCCCTGCAGCAGGATTGCTGCTTCACCCCAAGACTTTCTCAGACATTCTCTGCCTAAGACGGGACTCGAGTCCGTTGACCTGCTCCTCGCGATAGCGCCCGTGACTGGCCCCGCAACAGGTCACCATCCGCGCCAGCGCCGTCTGGACATGAGCCACTCCTAAACTTTCCGAGAGACGGCACCGGCGAGAATCATGACGTGACCGTGACCGCCCCCCTCCCCCCTTCTTGGCGGCGCGCACAGAGGGGGTAAGGGGAGGGGAGAGGCTTCCTAGAAGCAAGGTGCGTCTCAGAAGGCGCCGGCCCTGCATCTATAGACAGTCCCCGCGCCTTCGAAGCAGGCGGGCTTCTCAGAAGCCTTCTCCCCTCCCTCCACCCACCCTCCGCTGCGCGTGGCTGACCTTCCCCCCCCCCCGGTCACGCCCGCTGCATCGCAAGAGCGTGGCAGCAGAAAGAAATCCCAAGCGGCCTCCAGGCGGCGACGCGCGTGAACACTGCAAGAGCGCGAGCTGCTCGAAGCCACTCGCGCTCTGCAGCCCCCCCCCCCAGGGCTTGGGCGTCGCCTGATCGGGGGGCGATCGATGGGGAGGGGAGGAGGAAGGAGGAGGAGGCGGAGAAGGAGAAGAAGGAGAGGGAGGAGGATGAGGAGGAAGAGGACGAGGAGGAGAGGGAGGAGGAGGAGGAGGAGGAGGAGGAGGACCAGTGTAAACCCAAGAGTCATCAACGATGTTGGAGTAAGCCCTCCCTCCAAGCTCCCTCTTCATAGGCCCCATACAACGAACGGTTCAATTCCATTGATGGAACTGCCTCGTTGGAAGACACCAGTTTGTAGGCCCTGAGGCATGCCAAAACATTGTTCTCGGGATTCCAACGCCACGGATCAACCTGGCTGTTGCGTTTTGACGATCCTGAATCATGCCAGAACGCCATTTTCAACACAGAGAACCACTGTAACTTTTGCACCCGCATAATCCTGAATCCTTCCAAAACGCAATTTCTGGTACTCTGATGATGGGAATCCGTGTAACCCTTGCAAATGTTTAAAACGAATGTGCGCGGCGCTAAGGCGGGAGCCGCATTTTGAAACGGAACCGTCCTCAATTCGTGAAGCTCTTGCATTTGTTTTACGTTCGCCTCGCTAAAGGCGAGAGCCACATCTTGAACACCACTCGCCCTCAATCCGTGAAACCCTTGCAAATGTTTGAAATGAATGTGCGCCGCGCTGAAGCGAGAACCACATTATGAAAACCACCTCTCTCCTTCCGTGAAACTGCTGCAATTTTTGTAAAACGAATGCGCGCGGCGCTAAGACGAAAACCACATGTTGAAAACCACTCGCCCTCAATACGTGAACCTCTTGCAATCTTTTAACTCGAATGTGCGCCGCGCTATGGCGAGAACCACATTTTGAAGACCACCCGCCCTCAATCCGTGAAACTCTTGCGAATATTCAAAACGAATGAGCGCCACGCTAAGGCGAGAGCCACATTTTGAAGGCCACCCACCATTCAATCCGAGAAGCTCTTGCACAGGTTTAAAACGAATGTGCGGGGCGCTAAGGCGAGAATCACACACCCGCTCGCCATCTGTGAAACCGTTGCCAACTTTCAATTGTCAGAATCGTAATATGTGAGGAGTCTCAAGCGAAACGCCCGGCCCGCCCTAAAAACTGGCTTAAAAACTGGCTTCGGGGTGCGACGGGGAGTAATTATTCATAAGAAGAAACAGAAAAGTAGGAGGAGGAGCAGGAGGAGGAGGAGCAGGAGGAGGAGGAGTTGAGAACGGTGCACTAATCGGGCCCCAAACGCCCCACTTTGGGACCCCGCGCGGGCCCTTTTATTATAGGGCCCGAGAGGGGCCCCTCTGCTGCGGCCCCCGCTGCCACCCCGTGCGTCGTCCCCCCCCCCCTCCACTGCGCGACGCCCGAAGGTAAAACAGGGCTAAGATGGGGATAAATCGCTCCAGAACGTTCCGGGGCGCTCTCTGAACGTTTCGGAACGCTCTGGAGCGGCCGCGGCGGCCAATACATCCTCCAAACCCGCCGATTCTCAGAGATTTCGAGATATCCCGATCCGATTTTGTCCCGATCCTCGCGTCGTTTTAAGCGAGGCGCCGCCTGCGGGCCCCTGACCCAGACAGGCTCGCGTCGAACAACAAAAACCCGGACGGGACGTTTTTGTTGGCCATTTTCGGCCCCGGGGGGCCCTCGCCGGGTATCGGGACCGTCAAAAAACGACTCGGGACGAAAAACCGGTCCCGGGGAGCGGGTCGGGACGTCCAGGGACGCCTTCCCTAAAAAGTCAGGACGTCGCATGTCTGGGGAGCCAGCCGGCACGTGTGGACCTTGGACTGGGCCAGGTGTTTGTTTTGACTTCGTTGTCCGTCGTTCTGCCTTCGTTCTGCCTTTGCCGAGAAACGAGGTTGAAACGAAAACGGTCCACGGAATCGCGAAAACACCAGTTAGCTGAGCTGACTTGGACCGGGTTCCCGCGTGGGCTGGACACCCGAACGCCGACTCAGGAGTTGGTTCCCCACCGGACAGGTTGGGGTCGTTAGATTTTAAGAACAGACCTCCCCGCCACTCCCACCCTGCATACCCCGGCCGCCAGACCCCAAAGTGTCCCGAGTCCCGGTGATCCCGCCTCGCGCCCTCGACAAACACGACAAAACACACCCTGCATGCCGCGGTCGCCAGACCCCAAGTTGTCCCGATAATTCTGGGTATCCCGCCTCGGGCCCTCGACAAACAAGACGGAACACAATATGACACAACAGAACATGACAGAGTAAAGCAAGAGCATGACAGAACATGGCGAAACATAATATATCCATATCATGATAACATAGAGAACACCAACATATCACGGAGCATACAATAGCAAAACATGACATAACAGAGAACGGCATAACACCATATAATATAACATATCCGAGCATAGCATAAGGCACAGTGGCATACATATCATATTATGGCACAGCGTCACCAAACATACCATATGATGACAGCAGAGCATAGCGGCGAGCACGCCATAACACAACATGTCACACCAGAAGGTACTATAACATAACACGAGCATGTCATAACATGAGAGAGCATACCATAGCGATATCATGACACCACAGGCATGATACACCATCACATACCACATCATTTCATAGCATGGTAAAACAGAAGGCGGCATAAAACAACATAACATAGTATGAGACCGGAGAGAAACCCCAATCAGGGCTATAGGGCTAGGGGGCTATAGGGCTATAGGGCTATTGAGCGATAGGGCTATAGAGCTCTAGGGCTATAGAGTTGTAGGGTTATAGGGCTATCGGGCCATTGGGCTATGGGGCTATAGGGCTCTAGGGCTTAGGGCTATAGGGCACCCCCGGGCACCCCCGGGCACACCCGGGCACCCCCGGGCACCCCGGCACCCCCGGGCCCCCCCCGGGCACCCGGGCCCCGGGCACCCCTGGGCACCCCTGGGCACCCGGGCAACCGGGCGTGCAGCGAAAATCGGCGACAAACCTAACCTAACCATATGAATTCGCTGGGACCCCTACAGAGGCAAACTTTGATTAGGGAATCACCGAGGAAAATATAAGACACATTGGCATAGAATCCCATATCATATCACTTCATCGAAGAACATCTACTAACACGATAGTGTAGCATATCGCCACATACTAGCATAGCAGGTCATAATAAATTACAACATCAACTTGCGACCTGGCCCGACCGCCCCGCTGGCCGACGCCGCAAGGAACTGCGCACATCCTTCCAGTAGGCGCGCGCACCGTTGGGACCAAACGCCGAAGGTTTCGGTGGGGATCGCTCGAAGCAAAATATTTGTTTCGCTCCACCCTGCTTTACCGAAGCTCACACACCGTCCCTCCCCCCTTCTCCCACCGCCCTCCACCCTCCCTCCTCTTCCCATCCGTCTTCACGCCTCCTTCGAGCCTCCAATTAATCTGACTGTCTCCTGCCTCCTCACCTTTCTTCTCCTCCCTGTCCTCCGCCTTGTCCTCCTCCCTTACCCTTGTCCTCGTTATCCTCCAGCCAAATCCAAAAGAGTCAGTCTAAGGCCAGTCCAAGTGCAGGCAGCCTTCTGCACTTCCAGCCACGCCAAGAAAGGAAGGGCACCACCTTCTCCCGTGTCCTCTTCCTCCTTCTCCTCTTTCCTCCCTCCCTCCCGCTCTCGTTTCCTCCACATCCTCCTCCTCATCATCATCATCATCATCATCATCACCACTGGAACTTGCCGAGAAGAACCTCTGGCCCTCTTCAAGACCTGGTGGGCCTCTCCACAAATT